TGCCGCCAGGCGCCTCTACTCCAGGTAGGATGGGGCCGGGACAGCGGGGGACAGGGCGGGGCGGCCCGGAACAAAGGCGGCCCAGGAGGTGGCGTGTGGTGTGACCCGGGACAGGGACGCACCTCCCCGGCTACCAGGGCACAGCGAGAGCAGGGGGCTCGCAGTCTCCAGCCCCTGCCCAAGCAAGCCTGAAGGATGCCAAGGGACATGGCTTCTCCTCCCCGCTCTGCTGACCACAGGGCCTGGCTCTGTGTGGGGCTCGCTGCCCAGAGGCCACCCTAGCCTGGCACCGTCACGACTGTGCAGGGCCGGCAGGACCGGAGACCGCAGTCTCTCTCTGCCTGGCCACCACGAACCCCAGGCGGCAGGACAGGGCAGGAGCCAGCCACCAGGTGGGCGTGTACCTGCCGGCAGACACTTGCCTTGGAGCAGACCACAGGTGACCCGGCACCTGGTGATGATGAGTGGCTCTGGCCGGGTGGCACGTGCCCGTGACTCCCTGCCCGTGGAGGGTGTACCCCAAGGTGGTACCCGGGCAGCTGCAGCTGGTCCCCAAGTGGGCTGGGTGCTGCCAATTCATTCAGACTGGGCCTAGGGCTGGGTGGGTGCTCGTCTCAGCAACAGCACCCGGTTCAGAGGCTGAAGCCGGCCAGGCCCTGGATGGCCCCGCAGCCCTGACTCTGAGGCACCGCTCTTCTCTTTCCTCTGGCCGCTCTGGTTGGGGGCTTCCCTGCTGGGGTCCCGGCCCCAAGCAGTCTGACCCAGCCGGCAGCCTGTGCCCAGAACCTCACACCAAAGGAGGCTGCCCCGCCATCTCTGTTCTGCCACCGCCACTGGCCAAGACAGCATCCATTGTGGTTTCGGGGTCAGAGCTGGGCCGTGCAGGGGAGGGGCAAGGACTGTTCCTCCGCAGACTCAGGAGGCCCCTCCAGTCCCCCCAGAGTAACCCCAGCATGGCACTTCCTGAGGAGTGGGCCCGCTGTGCAGGGAGGGAGGGAGCGGTGGCCCCGGGAGACCCTCATATGGACCAGGGGGGCCGACACACAGCTGACACCCATGAGTCACCCGCAGAAGCCCCAAGCCAGGGGTCCTATGGGAACACACTGGGCAAACCCAGCTCAGGGAACTCTCTGGGGTAGGACAGTACCTGGGGACACTGGAGAGGCCCTGGGCCCGGCCCGGCCCCTTCCTCTCAGGTGAGGCCCATCTTGAGCCCAAAAGGTTGAGCCAGCCCAGATTCGTGCTGAGGGGCCATGAGCCCCCAAGGAGGGCACTTGGTCCTCACGGGGCAGGAGGATGTCAGGGAGGAGGGTCCCTGGCATCAGATCCCAGGGATCCTGGGGCACAGAAGTCCACTGTCATGTGTCCCATCCAACACAAGTCATCTGCTGGCATGGGAGCCAGGGCCGTGGCCGGGCTCATGACACCAGGTGGACGGGGTGCCCTGAGGTTTCTGGGGGACCTACATCACTTCCCCACCTGGAAAGGCTTGGACTCTAGGAGGTAGCTGTGTCTGAATGGCACCCTGAGGTGGGCAGGGGGGTCTATGAGCCCCCGAAGTTCCCACATGGAATCGCCAGGTGGGGTAGAGAGCCAGAGCAATTGGGGCCAGGGTGAGGTCAGCACAGGGCCCCTGGCTCAGAGCAGGGCTCTGGGATGTGGGGCTGTGAAGTGGGGACCCAGGTTCCTCTCCTGGCCTCCCAGACCCTGTGATCTGCTAGAATAAAACCCAGGTGGCAGCACCGGCACCAGAAGGAGCAGCCTTGGGCGTGACCCCGGGCTCCCCATGAACCCCACTCTTACTCTGCCCCTGCTTGGGCACTGCCCTTGACAGGTCCCGGGGCGTAAGCCCCCGAGGTCGCTTCCATCTCCTGGCACAGGCTCCCTCCTAAGGCCGGTGACCCTGCAGTCTGTGCCCTCTACCAACTCCTGCTCCCACCATGACACCCACTGTGCCCTGCCTGGTATCGAGGGTGTCACTCTGTGGGACGCCCTCAGGGTGACTGGTGGGGTGGGGAGTTGGGGCCCTGTGAACGGGGGCTCGAGGTTGGCCAGGGTCCTGTGCCTCAGAGGGGGAGGAAGGGGAGGAGTAGTGATCCAGCCTGGCGTGGGTGCCAGGGCCCCATGGAGCCAGGAGGGGCCAGCAGAAGTGTCGGGGGCCTAGCCAGGGCCACTGGGTTGGGGCCCTGAGCTGATGGCTCCCTGGGGACACTGCTGGTACTGAGACCAGGGGAGGCAGATGTGGTGGCCACAGCAGCTACGCTGGCCTCTCTACTGACCGGGACACCGGCAGGCAGCCACGGAACCTTGGCAGATGGCGTCCTGGCTCCTGGCCGTTGTGGTCTGGCACTGCCAGCTCTTTACAGAGAGAGGCACAGGGAGTGACCCTGCCAGAGTAGGTTGGAGTGAATCCAGGTCAGGACCCCAGGGAGGGGCAGTCAAGAGGTGCTGGTTCCTGGAGGGCAGGGCCTTTCTTCTCCAGAGAGGCAGAGGTGGCTACTGCCCACCAACTAAGCACTGCCTCAGCTCACAGCACCGGCGATCCCAGGCAGAGACAGGTCCCATGGGCCTGGGGTGGTGCAACTGGCAGGGCCGTCAAGTCCCCTCCCCTATAAAGCCCCATCTCTATCCCTGAGTCTGGGCTTTCTGGGAGCCCCTGGGCTCCACAGGCTTCCTGGGGACTCCAGACAGCCCAGCCCAGGGGCTGCAGCCTCTTGGGGTCCCCAGGGCACTGGGGCACCTTGGCAAGTGATCAAAGGGGCAAAGCCTTGGGGCCTGCAGCATGTATGAAGGGAGGAGAGGGTAGCCTGCAGGCCTGGCACTGCAGCTGTGAGGGAGACCAAGGTTCTGGCCCTACCGTGGCTGAGCTGTCCCCAAGTGAACTGTGACTGGCTTGAGAGGGAGCTGGCAGGGGACTACCCAGGGCCTGGGGTCCTGCTCTGGGTGCCCCAAGGTGGCCTCAGCATGCAGTGCCCCTCACCACCGTCCTACTCACTCTGACCCCACTGGGCCTCCCCTTACTGCTCAGCCACAAGGACCCTTCTCACCCCAGCTTCCCCATGGCCCTGGGTGGGTGGGCTGGCGGGTCTAGGAGAGGCCAGACTGCTCCCCCACTCTACGCTGGGGGCCGATGTCGAGGACCTCGCCTCTCAGAGCCCCTGCAGCCCTGTCTGTGGCTGGACCCAGTGTCTTCCTCCACCCTGGGGTGTCCCCAGCCCCCCAGAGGGTTCCACACTCAGCCGGACATGGGGGGCTGCTGAACAGGAGGCTAGGGCCCTGGGGTGTTTGGGGACAGCCTAGTTGGCGGGGGTGGCCTCCCTAGCCTGTGTGACCCACGTGCTGGCTAACTGGGGCCTGGTGCTCACCTCGGAGCCCAGGCAGGAAGCGGGCATCGAGGACTCTGCCCCGTGTCAGTGTGACCTGCTCCCCTCCGGGCACCTGTGGTGGTGCCAACAAGGCTGCAGCATTCGGACCAAGCTGGGTCAGGCGAGCAGCAGACTGGACATGGGTCCCAAGAGGCTGGGAGAGGCCAGGTGCCAACCCTGTCCGAACCTCAGCTTCTCTGTTTGGGTCAGTCTCCAGTGGCCAAATGGGTATTGCGGTGGAGCTCAGCACCAGTACAGGCAGCCCGGCCTCCCAAGGACCAGGGCCCAGGCACAGAGCCGGCCACAGGGCTACACTTGCACATAAGCTTCCCGAGGAGTTGGCAGTGACACTGGGTGGCTGAAGCCGCACACCCTGAAGGCTGCTGGCTTAGGCACCGTGCCCTCCCTATCCCCAGAGGCGGCAGGAGGGTTATCGCCTGCCCCAGCCCTCCCCAGCCTCTGCCGTCAGCGGCATCCAGCCTCTGAGCCACCCCTGATCCCAAGATCTGGGTCAGGCCAGGATGGGGGCCCCAGAGCACCTGCCCCAGGTCTCCCAGAGCTGAGGCCGCTGAGCCTTCAGCCTTCCTCCTGGGGGCATGGGGGACAGGGCATTCTGAGGCCAGCAGGAGAGAGGCCTGGTGCTGCAGCCCCAGGTATGGAGGGCCAGCCTCTAGCCCTGAGCTTGGCGTAGAAAGCTGTGTGCAAGGTGGTGTATGGCGCCCCCCACCCGCGCCCACTGCTGCTGCCTGTGGGACTGGAGCTGTGGCTGTACGCGCAGAAGATGCGGAACGTGGGGAGGCAGAGGTGTGATGGCCCAGGGGGTAGGTGGGGGCTTCCTGGGCATCTGGAGAGGAGGCTCCCGACCCAGACACCTGCAGACATCTCCTGGCACAGCAAGGCCCTCTGTGCACCTCCCTGTGCCTCTGGCTGAAGCCTCCTTTGGTCTGAGTCCACAGTTTGTTCCCAACCCATACCCACATCCTCAAAGGACAGTGACAAGGGTCCATGTCCAGCTGTTCAAGGACAGCTGGATGGGGACAAGCAGGCTTTATTTAAAAAGCCCGTGTGTGGTCGTGGCCAGAGGAGCTGTATTGTGGCTGGTTGCCATGGTGACTGTGGGCTCCAGTGGCCAAGGAGGTATCTGGATGGCCATCCCCAGAGGGCCCAGCAAGATGGCTGTGGGGCAGGGGTGGCCCCCTCCTTTTGCTGCTAGCTTCTGGGGAGCAGGCAGTTGTGGGAACGCCAACCTCAGCAGCATCCACTGTGGAGGGGAGGAGCTCGCCTGAGCTTCGGTGTCCCCATGTGCTACGTCTGCCTGAGGCTCTGCAATCCTGGTGAGCAGTGCCTGGCCTGTGCCCACGGCCTCCTGTGGCAGGGAGACCTGTGCAGTGGGAGGCGCCACCCCATCCAGGACCCAACCTGGTACTGCACAAGCCATGGTCAGGGGTCCTAGATCCTCAGTAGTCAGGCGACAAGCTCCCAGCCACCCTGCCCTGAGCAGGGCCTGCTCCCCTCTCCCAGCCAGAGCCAACCACAAGGCCCTGGCAGGAGCCTGTGGCTGTGGACAGTGGAAGTGGCTCTGCCAGGCTGGCAGGCCCCGAGGGTGAGGGGCTTGTCCCCCATAGCCTCCACCAGGGGGCAGCGGCACCTGCTGGGCTGCAGTTGGACTGGGCGGATGCTGGGCCGGCCAAGGAGGGGCTGGAGAGCCAGGGGAAGGGGCAGGTCCTGCTCAGGATCAGGCCCCACCCCTGCACCCCGAGCCTCCATGGTCCCTGGTGGGTGGTGGAGAGTCCACCCCAGGGTGCCGTGGTGCTTGGGGCCCCTCGGCCTTTGCTGCTGGGGGTCAGGCGAAAGGAGGCGGGGGCAGAGGTGAGCATGCCCGTGAGCACAGGTGACACCGCCCAGGCCATAGCCTGTGGTGCAGCAGTGAGGGGGTTCCATGCTGGGGGTGGCCATGACACCCTGTCTCGCCCAGGATGGAGGCCTCGTGCCTGGAGCTGGCCCTGGAGGGTGAGCGGCTGTGCAAGGCGGGTGACTTCAAGGCAGGAGTGGCCTTCTTCGAGGCAGCCGTGCAGGTGGGCACAGAGGACCTGAAGACGCTGAGCGCCATCTACAGCCAGCTGGGCAATGCCTACTTCTACCTGAAGGAGCATGGCCGCGCCCTGCAGTTCCACAGACATGACCTGCTGCTGGCCCGGTGAGCACCCGGCCGGCTGTCCTGGGGAGGGGACGGTCAGGAGCGGCCCCACGAGGGCCCAGACAGTGACGGGCCGGGACCTGGGGGGCCCCAGCAGCTGCTGTCCAGCCAGACACGTCTGTCCATGTGTGTGAGTGGCCAGGGCTCCACGCCTGTCTGTCTGTCTGTCCATACCCAGGCATCTCCTACACACCTGCCTCGCCCACCCCTTCCTGGCCTGGGACTTGGTCATCTCCTCTCCCTATTTTGCCCCTGCTCTGTTGGTGGCCAGTTCCCTGGAACCCTTGTGCTCCCTGGGACCCAAGTGCCACAGGTCTGGGACTCCCTCCTGCACCCTCCACTCCCCACCCCTTGGGCTCCCCAGGGTCGCCTCTGCCCGTGCTGTGCCCCTTCCCTGTCTCCCACCCTGCCCGGGTCCTCTCCACACCCCCAGCCACCTCCTCAGCACTGGGCCCAGCGTCTGGGCCTGCAGCCGGCCACCAACCTCACTGCTTGAGTCACGGGGCTGATGTTCTGGGCAGGGTGTTCTGCCCAGCCTGGCCCAGAAAAGGAAGTGGTCCTGAGCCAGGACCCCAGCCCAAGCCCCCGCTGCCATGTCACTCTGGGGACACAGGCTCCTGTGGGCCCCTAGCAGCCAGTCCTGGCTCCTGACTCCTCCTGCCCTCCAGGACCATTGGTGACCGCATTGGGGAGGCCAAGGCCAGTGGGAACCTGGGCAACACACTCAAGGTCCTGGGCAGATTCGATGAGGCTGTCGTCTGCTGCCAGCGGCACCTGGACATTGCCCAGGAGCAGGGGGACAAGGTCAGTTGTCAACTCCAGAGCAGGGCTGTGAGGGAGGCGGCCATCCCAGCCCCCTGGGCTGCCCAGCCTTCCCACCGCTGTGTCTGGATCGAGCCCCACTGCATGTTCCCTGTGGGAGTGAAGATAAAGTGACCCCCAGTGACAGGAGCCTGAGGTCCCACAGGAGCAGGGCCACTTCCGGTTCATGCAGCCGCTCAGGGCTGGGACCTGGCTGCCCAAGCCGCCCACTGCCTACCTTCACGAGCTCCTCACAGCCACAGGGGCAGAGAACCTGCGGCTTCTAGGGGCCAGTTGTACACATGCTCTACCCTTAGGGTTAGGGACAGCTGAGGGCCTGGCCACCTCCACCACCCCAGCGGGCAGAGGGGGAGAGCAGAGCGGGGCTCCCCTGGCTCCCTCCTTAGCCTGGGACAGCCAGGACGGTGGGCCACAGGTCGGGGGGCACACGGGTAGCTGGGGGCCTAGAGTCACACCCAGCCCTGCTCACCATCCACAGGTCGGGGAGGCCAGGGCACTGTACAACATCGGCAACGTGTACCACGCCAAGGGCAAGCAGCTGTGCTGGAGCTCGGCGCAGGACCCCGGGCACCTGCCGCCCGACGTGCGCGAGACGCTGCGCAGGGCCTCGGAGTTCTACGAGTCAGTGGCACTGTGGATGGGCAGGGGCACAGGGCAGGGGCTTGGCAGAGTTGCGTGTGAGGGCACAGGAATGGGCAGCAACCCAGGCACGGAGTCCCCTGCCCAACCCCACCTGCAGGCCCCACCCCAGTCCCACCCCTCCGGCGGACCAAACCCTCAGCCACCGGGCTTGGCGGCACTGGAGCCAGGGAGCCTGTCCAGCTGCCCTCTTTCTCTGGCACTCCCGGAAGAGCCCAGTTCCCAGCACCTCCTGGGCGGGCAGGTATGGCTGCTCCTGGTGGAGGGAGGGACCCGGCTCACACAGCCCCCACCCCAGGAGGAACCTGTGCCTGGTGAAGGAGCTGGGTGACCGAGCGGCACAGGGCCGGGCTTATGGCAACCTGGGCAACACGCATTACCTTCTGGGCAACTTCACGGAGGCCACAGCCTTCCACAAGGAGGTGAGCAGGCGTGCATGTCGGGTGGGCTGACTGGGGTGGAGCCTGCTGGTCTCCATCGGCCGGGCAGGGCTGGAGTGGGGACACTGCCGGCCCCTGCTTTACCTGTGCTGGATCCTGGGGCTCCTGTCTGTCCCCAACACTCATCACCGGCAGGCATCCTGGGAGGAGGTGCCACACCAGGGCTGCTCTGTGACCCCAGCCTTGTCTATCTGCAGCGCCTGGCCATCGCTAAGGAGTTTGGGGACAAGGCGGCTGAGAGGAGGGCCTACAGCAACCTGGGCAATGCGCACATCTTCCTGGGGCGCTTTGACGTGGCTGCGGAGTACTATAAGTAGGCGGCCCCCACCCAGCCCCACTGTGGGGGAGCAGGGGGGGCGAGGGAAGGACACCGGGCTGGGTGGGCGCCGACTGCTCAGCCTCCCCAAGGGCCAGGATCCCTGGCGGGTGCTGTTCTCTAGCCTCCTGGCCTGTGCAGTGGCTGCTGGGTGGAGCTGGGCTGTCAGGAGTGGGCCCTTCTCCGAGCCCTAAACACCCATCTCAGGCCCGGAGTGGTGGGCCTGGCCATCCTGGACTCCCCCAGTTGGAAAGTTGGTGGGGAACTCAGTATGTCTGCTGTGGCCATGGAGGACAAGGACACAGCCAGAGAGATCCCAGGGCCGTCCTGGGGTGGAGACCGGCACAGGGTCCCTCCTCACCGCACCTCTACCCCACGTGGGGTAGAGGGGACCAGGAAGCCTGCATCTGGCCCTCTAGTCCTCTCTGTCTGTCCAGAGCTGACCCTCTGCCCACTCTGCAGGAAGACGCTGCAGCTGTCGCGGCAGCTGCGGGACCAGGCGGTGGAGGCGCAGGCCTGCTACAGCCTCGGCAACACCTACACGCTGCTGCGGGACCACGAGCGGGCGGCCGAGTTCCACCTGCGGCACCTGCTCATTGCCCAGGAGCTGGCCGACAGGTGCGAGGCTGAGGGCGCTGGGATCCGGGGCGCTGGGATCCAGGGCCCCTGCCGCTCTCGTCGCTATGGAAACACCCCCCTGGGAGACAGGCACTGCACGGGGCAGCCTCAGGCCTGAGAGCTCCACGAAGAACTTCCCAGGGGCTGTGGTGGAAATGTCCTGGAGCAGACAGGGGCAGCAGTCCCACTGCGTCACCTCCCTTTGCAGTGGTTAAGTCCCTGTCAGGAGCGTTTCCCCTGGAAAACAGGTGGCCTAGCAGCCTGGGGAGCACAGGAGAGACTGCCAAACCGGCCACTAGGGGGCGAACCAGGCCAAGGGGCTGAGCACCGGCAGCCCCCCACCCACAGGGTACGGCCCTTGCCCCGCCCAGAGGGCCCCAAAAGCCTCCCTGAAGGCAGAACCAGCTCCTGGGAACCCACTTTAGTCAGGCTTTTCCAGGGTTTTTTGGGGGGGTTGTTATTTTTGGTACCGGGGATCAAACACCAGGATTTTGTTGTGGATTGGGGTGTGTGTGTGTGTGAGAGAGAGACTGAGCATTGAACCCAAGGCCTTTGCCCTGAGCTCTGTCCCCAGCCCTTACTATACTTTATTTTTTGAGACTGGGTCTCGATAAGGAGATAAATTACTTAGACTAGGCTCTAATTTGTGATCCTCCTGCTGCTGCCTCCAAAAGTTTGGGGAATATAGGTGTACACCACCAAGTCTTGCTGTGCTCATAATTCTGAGCAGGTGGTATTGCTGAATCTGGTTGGAGCTGCTCCCTGGTGGTGGGAATTTGTGGGAGGCCCTGGACCATGAGTGCAGTGGGGGCCGCCACAGCCTAGAACACGCTGTCCCACTACTCTGTCCGTGCTCCTGGGCCTGGGGGCCCTGTGGGACCCTTGCTGCTGGCAGAGGCAACCTGGGGTCACAAGGCGGTGGCTGCCATTGGGCCTTCCTGGGGTGGTTGGCAGGTGGGGAGCGTGGGCATGGACCCTTCCTCTCTGCAGGGTGGGTGAAGGCCGAGCATGCTGGAGTCTAGGGAACACGTACCTGTCCATGGGGAGCCCAGCGCAGGCCCTGACCTTCGCCAAGAAGCACCTGCAGATCTCCCAGGAGGTGAGCAGCTGTCTCAAGCCCCATGCCCTCCTGCCCTGTCCCTGAATCCTCAAGTGTGGTGGGGAGCGAGACGTCTTCACCCTTAGGGTTCTGGGTCCCCGTGGGTCCTTCTTTTGCCCTGCCCTTACCCCCTGGAACAAGGCCACAGGAGCAGCAGGGCTCCCCCAGAGAGCCCCCCACAGTGCAGATGCCCGTTTCCAGCTGAGGAAGCCGAGCCCAGGCAGGCCAGGCCACAAGGCCCTGAGCACTTTCGGAGTTGCCCAGGGACAGACCAGGGGATGCCACCCCTGGGGGCCAGCCCAGGCTGTCCAGCAGGTCAGGGGCAGTGCCCTGGGGGCCATCACTCACCCCCTGCTTGCTCACAGCAGATCGGGGACCGCAATGGGGAGCTGACAGCCCGCATGAACGTTGCCCAGCTGCAGTTGGCACTGGGCCCGCTGAGCAGCCCGGCTGCCATAGAGAAGCCGGACCTGGCTGGCTATGAGGCCCAAGGTGAGTTCCCAGCCGAGAGCCGTCCTGCTCCTCATACTCCAGCCTCAGCCTGGTCACAGTCAGGGTGCTGACCAGGCGTGGGTATGGTGGGAGGGATGCCAGGGAGCGAGTGTGGCTGATGCCAGGGGTGCAGGGGCCAGGGGCCAGGTGCTGCCGGTGGCTGCTGAGGAAGGAGCCACCAGGAGGCAGCAAGCTCCCTGACCCAGGGTGGCACCCACAGCTGAGTGTCCACGGCCTGCCTCACTGGCCTGATTCAGAGGCCCCCGCCACTCTCAGGGGCTGACGTTGGGGGTGGGGTGAGTGGACAGATAGCTGGGGGCACGGAAACGTGCTGAGGAGACAGGCAGGGGCAGTGTCACCACTGGGCAGCTCAGGGACCAGGAGCGATTAGAGGCGGGACAGCATTGTGTGCTCCAGAGGCAGGGCAGCTTGAGCAAAGAGGTGGCCAGCTGGATGCCACGTCCCCTGACACCAAGGACCTGTGGTCTCCCTGAGCCCCTCGGACCCATGACCCTGGTGGCACCATAGGGCTGACTCGGAGAACAGGAAGGCTGCTGTTGCCCACAGTCTGAGGCTCAGCTGGGAGCCCGGCCTTGTGTGCTCAGAGTACAGATGGGAAGTGCTGGCAGGGCCACTAGTGACCTCACCAGGTCAGCGACCAGCTCGCCCAAGGACAGAGCACTTCCCACGGAGCAGACAGATTAATATGCAGCCAGTGAGGGTGCTGTGCCAGCTGGGGGCAGGAGTAGAGCCCACTGCCTTGGTCTCCAGGGCCCAGCAAGGGCTGCATGTGGCTTGAGGGGCTTCCCTCCATGACCTGTACTGTGAAGGGGTGCTGAGAGCAGAGCGTGGCCAGGTCCATCCCCAGAGCCCCCACTGGGCGGTGGCTGTGTGGGTGAGGGTGGGGCACTGGGTGAGTATGACGTGCCGCCCTTCCCTGTCCCAGGACACAGTGTCTGTCTGGCTGTGGCTTTCTATGCAGCCCCAGCTTCTGTGTGGGTGAGGGTGGGGCACTGGGTGAGTATGACGTGCCGCCCTTCCCTGTCCCAGGACACAGTGTCTGTCTGGCTGTGGCTTTCTATGCAGAGCCCCAGCTCAGCCCCTGCCCCGTGTCCCCTGGCCAGTGTGGCCACCCTTGGAAGCTGGGCAGCAGGTGGGGGCAGGGCTGGCAGCTCCTGGAAAAGTTCCCGCAGCGACAGCCAGCTCTAGCCCTTGTCCCAGCCAGGAAAGGGGGCTGTCCCGGGTGAGCAGCCAGGGACAAGACCGCTTCTGTCCTCCTGCCCCGCCTCCCCGTCCTGCCCGAGCCAGTGCCAGACCCTGCCCACCCGGCCAACAGAAGCCTCTCCCAACGGGCTACAGTGGCAGGGCTGCAGTAGGCACAGGCAGCATCTGGCCCCTGCTGCTGGGGCTGGGGTGTCCAGCTGGGATGCAGCTGCTGGGGACAAGCCCAGGTCCTGAGAGTCTGGGCGGCCCTGGGGGACCCACCCACTCAGGTGAGCTGCAGGGGTGGGGTCCGGGGGACCACAGGAGTCTGGGCTCTGGGGACAGGTGCTGAGGGGCTTTTGTGGGGGTGTATCATCTGTCCTGCAGCACTGGGTGCTGGGTAGGCCAGCCCTGCCTTCCAGAAGCTGCCCAGAGGCCCTCAGTGGCCATGCAGTTGGTGGGGCTTGGGGAGCTAGCTAGACATCAGCAGCTGCAGGGGGCTGCAACCTGGTGGGGTGGGGGTGGGGTGGGCATGGCCTGGGTGGCTGTGGGGCCCCTTGGTGGTCACTGGCCTTGAAGCCAGCATCCAGTGCCACTTGGCTTTCCTGCTTGATAACCACAGGCGACTTCTGCAGCTGGAGCTGACCCTGCCCAGCCGTCAGGGGCCCCCACAGGGGGCAGAGACCCCATGGGACAACTCACCACCCCTCCTGTGGGGCTGCCCCAACCCACTGTGCTGTTGAGGACACGGGGTACCAGAGCAGGGAAACAGCAAGACCAGTGTGTGACGGGGAGAGGGAGGCGCCCCCATGGGGCTGTCTGCGCTCTGCCTCATCCCCGACAGGCCCCACAGCAGGTGCCCTCCACCCTGCATGTCCTGCCTGTGGTGGCAGCAGTCAGCCCATCAGCTTGGGCCCCACATTGTCTGGCACCAGCAGAGCAGAGGGAAAGGCAGCGGCAGTGGGGCGGTAGTGGATCCAACTCGGCTCTCACTGCAGACGAAGGGCAGGCTGGGCACCGAGCAAGGCACCGACAGTGGCACAGCTGCCATGAGTGAGAGTGGATGGATCCAGCTCTGGTGACGCTAGAGAGCCAGGGCTTCAGAGTTTTAGGGGCACAGGGCAGCTGCCCACGAACAGGACACAGCCTGCAGGCACAGAGACAATGGTGGGGCCAGGGTGCTTCCCAGACCTCTCCTGGGTAGCAGGAGGGACAGGAAGCCAGCAGGGGGACATGGGGCCCTGGTGGACTCCAGACAGAAGGTGCCTTTAGCTGTGCCTGCGAGCCTCTGCCCCGCCCACCCTGCCACAAGGAAAAGGATGCCAGGAGCGGGGCAAAGAACAGAAGGGCCAGCTGTGCAGGGCCCAGGGACAGGCACGCAAGAAAGAGGGACCCAGCCTAGCACCCAGTGCTTCAGGGGCAGCCGAGAAACAGGCCCTGCCTGTCCTGGAGTGCGACGGTGTGGGGTCCCGGCTGGGGTGGTCAGTGAAGGCCCCGAGCTCCGGGGCACATGGTCTCAGCAGTGTCCACTGTCCCTTCCTCAGGATACCCTCCTGATCTGGGGTGGGGGTGCCCCTTGGGACCCAGCCCCCTTCCCCATCCTGTCCCCTTCAGTGCAAGGGCGCCTCAGCTCTGGCAGGATGTGCCGCGTCGGAAGCGGGGGGGAGACCCTCCGAGCCCTGCTGCCAGGGCCTGGGGGCTGCTCTGGGCACTGTGTGGAGTAGAGAGGCAGCAGGTGGCTGCTCCCCGGGTGCTCTGGGCCACATCGGCGTGTGAGGGGTAGGCTGGCAGTCCCCTGCCCAGACCCTCTGCAGAGCCCCAAGTGCCCTCTGAATCAAGGTCACTTCATTTCTTGACCACTGGAGAGCAGGGGCGAGGAGGGCCTTGGTCAGAGCCTTGCGTGGAACAGGGGAGGGCAGACCCATGCCCCTCAGGTTCCCACTCCCTCCTCTGTGCCACCTGTCCCAGCCACTCATAGCCACCGCCTGCTTCTTAGGGTCCTTACGCATTCACTTTGGGCTGGTCTGGGCCGACAGCTGGGCAGCAGGCGGCCTGGCTGGCCATGGCAGGCTTGGGGTAAGCCCCATGTGGGCAGTGACATGGCCGGCCACCAGAGCATCCTCCTGGCACCAGGAGCTGCTGGGCTCATCGCCCTTCACTGCACTCCACGTCCACCTGACTGTGTCCCACACGTGTCTGCAGAGAGGGGGCTTGGGCCCTAGGAGGTCAGGTGGAAGGGTGGGTATGAGGCTCCTCATGCGTGGTCACAGGGGCCAGGGCAGAGGCTGGGGGTCCTCAAGGTGCCTGGCCTTCTCCACCCTTGTTCCTGGTGGGAGTGTGTGCCACCTCCCCTGTGGCTGGCTGGGCACCCCTGGCCCTGGTCCTCCCAGTCTGGGCTCCCCATGTGTGGGGACCCTGCCAGGCTGGCTGTCCCCAGGCCCCATACCCTGCTCTGTGAGTAGCACCTGAAGCTAGACTCACCTTTCCAAACCTCCTGCCTGGTGGGCAGGGCTGGCGCTGGGGCTCAGGGCTGAGCTGCACCTGCACCATCTTGGGGTAGCCTGGGTGAAGGTCAGGGGGAGTCTGGCTAGCTGGGTCCTTCTGGCTCTACTACCAAGCATGGGTCTGATGAGTACCTGGCAAGGCGGCTATTCCTCCACCCCCGCTGCGGCTGGGGACATAGGGGTCCCATGGCTGGGACCAGTCCAAAGGGAGCCAAGGCTGGCTCAGCCCACCCTGCCCAGCACAGCTGCCGAGTATCTGAGAGCTGCTTCGGGTCACGGTCCTGGGGAAGGCCCTGCATGGCTGACCTGGGTTCATCTGGGGCCTCCCCTGCCCCCGGCCAGGCCTGAGCTGCCTACGGTGGACCCAGGGGCCCCTGCCTGCCCCAGGCCACTGTGGAGTGACTTCAGGAGGGTAATCAGGTGGTCCCATGGACCTGGGGGCGAGCTGTTGTGCTGGGAAGCCTGGGGCATGGCTGGGAGAGTCCTGTGTTCCAGGATGGTCCTGGTGGGGGCGCCAAAGCCAGACATCCCCACCGGGCTGGCGTGTCTGCTGCCAACCATCTGGGGACAGAGGGACACAGCGTTCCTTCTCGTGGGGCTGTTGGGAAAGCTCATCACTGGTCTCCCAGGGCCCCCGCCTGGCCCTAGGCTCAGGCCAACACTGGTGACGGGGCCACACTGTCTTCCAGGTGCCAGGCCCAAGAGGACACAGAGGCTGAGTGCGGAGGCCTGGGACCTGCTGCGGCTGCCCCCGGAGCGGGTGAGCAGGCACGAGTAGACGGCAGGGCACACCAGCTGTGGGTGGCAGGCTGATGACCCTGGGGAGCCTGTTTGCTGAGCTCTTGCGGCATGGCCTGGTCCTGTCTGCTGGGAGACAAATGAGCCCTTGGCCACTGGAGGCCCTGCTGGGCCCATCTGCCACCAGCCCCCCAGCGGCCCTGTACCGGACCCCCACATGGCCCCACGTTCCTGCCAGCTGCTTCACCAAGCCGTGTGTCCCTTCCATGTCCCTACCCAGCCCCAGCGTCCCCAGAGCCCAGGGGCTCCTGCCTGCTCCCTGCCCAAAGGGGAAACAGAGGCTCCTCTGGTAAGGAGGCTGGCAGAGCATGGCAAACCCCAGACAGTTTTGGGGACCAGGTGTGGCGCTGTCCAGCCCTGGGCCAGGGGCCTCTGGTTCCTCCGCTGTAGCACTGGCTGGGTGTGGACCCCTGCAGGCCCAGCATGGGTTCCAAGCTCAAGGCCACCATGCTCACTGCTATTTCTTGGGTGACAAGACCGACAGCCCTGTACCTAGAAATCCCACCCTTCCCCTCCTCCTCCCTGTGTGCCCTGTGGGAGTGGGGCAGCACCCCCAGGCCATCCTGAGCTGGGGAGGTGGGCTGGAATCCTCCCACCCATGTCTGCCCTCTCAGGAACAAAATGGAGATGCCTGCCACAGTGCGGACTGGCGGGGTCCTGGCAGGGACTCACTGCCCCTCCCTGTGAGGAGCCGGAAGTACCAGGAAGGGTCAGACACTACCGAGAGGAGGCCTCGGGAGGGCAGCCGTTCCCCCCTGGACAGTGCCGACGTCTGTGTGCAGGTGCCCCGCACGGTAGGTGCCCTCAGCTTGGACAGGAACTCTGGGAAGGCAGAGGTTCTGGTGGCTGCCTCAGTTGCCCTTTTGTGGCTTTGCTCTCTGTCCCTGCCCCATCCCCAGCCTCACTGGGCCTTCAGACCCATCTGCGAGTCATAGGGCTGTGTTCGCTATGAGGCTCTGGTTGTCCCGGTTGAGGGCGCTGGTCCCTCCACCTGGGCACCCTCGGAAGTTCAGGGCTAGTTGGCAGGGACCCCAGCCCTGTGTGTCCCCACGGAGCCTCTGGGAGGTGAGGCAGTCAGCAGCCCCAGCGGTGTCCTGGAGCCCCCCAGCGGAGGTGCCCGGGACTGCAGCTCCTGCTAGGCGTGGGAGGGGGGCTCTCCTCGTCCCTTTCAGGGGCTTGGGGCTGGGGACACATTTGGAGCCATGCGAGAGATGTGGCCAGGGCAGCAGAGCCTCTGATGGAGAGGACAGCGGGAGCTGACATTGACCCAGGGTCCCAATCCACCTAGCCAGGCGTGGGGCCCTGAGCAGACGGGGACTGCAGGGCTGGGCAGGGCAAGTGACAGGACCAGGGAGGGCCCACTGCCAAGCCTGGGGCGCCAGTGCTGTGGGCGAGAGCCCTTCCAGGCATAGTGCAGGCCTCTCCACCGCGTGGCCAGGTGTGTGCATGGAAGCAGGGGACACAGGCTGGTGGTCAGGACCTTCTTTGGGCACAGGGCCGCTGGTAAGGTTCAGGGGTGCGCACAGGCAGGGTGCAGGTGTGGAGCAGAGCTCAGAGCCTGGGAGAAGGGTACCAGGGCCCAAACTCCCAGAAATTAGCCTAAAAATAGTCCCTCCCGGGCCTAATCAGTGCCCCAGCCTGCGGAGGGCGTGGGTGGGCTGGGTATTCTTAGCTCGGTGCCTGTCTGCAGCCCACCCTTCCCTCAAGCCTGGGGAGGCCGCCCCCAACCTTTCGTCCCACTGCGCTCCTGTCACAGGAAGAAGGCAGGGACCCTGGGGACCTGCGTACCTCTTCAGGTGCAGCCTGCTTCTCACAGGAGCCCCAGGGCTGTGATACCAGGCCTGGTATCACAGGCCCAGAGTCAGGGTCAGTGCTGAGGGCCACCAGGCTGAGAGAGCCAGGGCTGCCTGTGGGGGTCCTGTGTCCAGGATCGGGGGCTCCCTCAGCCCTACCTCGGAGGAGCCCACGTGGTGGGGTGAAGGGCTTTCCAAGGGGCTGCCTGCCCCCCCTCACCTCCTGGCGACGCCCACAGCCCCAGGGGAGCGAGGGACTGTGCTGTGCTCAGGGCCATGGAAGTGTTTACAGAGCAGCCTGGGTGTGTGCTCGTGTGCGTGCATGTGTGTGTGAGCCTGAGAGCTCACTCGTGGGTGTTGTGAGTGATCCAGCAAGGGCGGTGCTGGGAGGGCCAAGTCCTCTCCCTGGGTCCTATTTAAGCATCGAGTGAACACTGGGGCCCCGGCATCGGCAAGGAGGCAGCGCCTGGCACCCCGGGCAGGTGTTGGCTGTGGCGGCAGCACTGGGCACCTTGGCGTCCTTCCCAGGCTGCATTTGGCCAGGTGCCCTGTGCAGCTCCCGGTTGCTGCTGCAGGAAGGAGTCCGTGGTCTGGCGTGAGTGTGGGGTCCCTGGCCCAGGAGAGGCTAGGGTGCACAGGGGCCTCCGCTGGCCCCAGTGGGACAGACCTGACCAAGCTGTGCCCTACTCCCATGGGAACCGGGCTTAGAAGACAGCAGGGGAGACTGCTGCCAGACTTGAGGGATCTCAGAACTTCAGAGGAGAGGCTGGGTGTGGGGTGAGCCCTGTGGGACCCAGTGGTGTGCTCTGAGTTGTGCTTCTGGGTGGGGTGAGGGCCCCCCTGCAGCTGCATGGAGCCAAGCTTTCTACCTGGGCTGCAGCCCCCCCCACCCCAGCAGGAGCGATGGCTCAGGGCCGGGAGGGGGTTGGCAGGTCAGGACCCCGGAGAGGGCCCTGCTGTGACATCCTGTGGGTGGGGATTGGGGCCCGGGGCAAACCTTGCTCCTCCTCACATGCCCTTCAGCCCAAGCTCCAGCCTAGGGGAGGACCCTGTCCTGCCCTTCCTGGGGGAGCGTGGCTGGGCAGCCCCACCTTTGCTTGGGGCAGACACGGGCTGGGTTGAGGGCCCGTGGCCTCCTGCCCGCACCCGTGCAGCCCTCAGCAGAGGGTCCCCCTCCTCTCCTACTTCCTGACAGCAGAGCAGGGGAGGGTGGGAGGGGGCTGCCGGCCCCAAGCAGGCTGTGGCCACCTCCTGTCCACACACCCTTGGAGACCTGAGCCTGGTGCTACGCTGGGACAGTCCCCAGGACCTGCTGTCTCCTGCCACTGTATGACCTAGGGCCGGGCACACGGCCTTCTGGGCCTCAGTCGCTGGGCGTAGGACTGTCTCCAATGCATGGGGACCACAGGTGGCAGAAACTTCAGGCCATGTCCAGCACGGTAGATCCAATGCTGTTGTTCAGCCCTCTCCTGGCTCTGGGCCCTGTGGATGTAGGAGCTGAGGCCGTGCTGGCTCACAGGCCCAGGGACCTTCTGTTAGGCTTTGTGCCCACCACACCCTTCTCCCCCACCCCCATGGGCGGGTGACCCCAGGTCAACCCTGGCCCAGGCCCCACTGGCCAGGCTGTTAGCTCCTGTCCACCAGCCAGGGTCCTGAGATTACCCCACACTCCAGGGGCAGGCAGGACTCGGGGCTGTGTGGGTAGGGAAGACTGGTGGGCAGGTGGCCTGGCACTCCTGACACTCCCTGCCTGGGGACTGCTCTGGTTGACGGGCCCCATTGATCCGAGGGGTTTCTATCTGTCCCCTCACATCTGCCCTTCAGCCATCCCTGGCTTACAGGACGGCCAGGGCCTTAGTGCTTCTCCCACACCTGGATGCCTTGGGTAAGGTTGCTTGCTGCTGGCACCTCTATCTGCTGGTGATTGCTGCCACGTTGCCCACTGCCAGCACATTCGTTGTGGCCACCCAGGATACCTCCTGCCAGGGTCCGCTCCTGGATCCATCCGTCTGTCCCCAGGCAGTGCTGTGCTGGGGGCCTGGACAGGGTCTCAAGAGCAGGGTGCAGGGAGAGCCCAGAGGAGACCAGGGAGCGTGGGAGCATTCTGGGGGAGCAGGGAGGGTCCCGACCTCTGCCCAGAGCTGGTGCACAGCCTGGGCTCAGAGCCCACACCCACCCGCAGAGCATCCCAAGGGTCCCGTCCTCTGATGAGGAGTGCTTCTTTGACCTGCTGAGTAAGTTCCAGAGCAGCCGCATGGACGACCAGCGCTGCCCGCTGCAGGAAGGCCAGGCAGGGGCCGCCGAGGCCACGGCTGCTGCCTCGCTGGAGGAGAGGCTCGGTGAGTCGGGGCCCAGGCTCCGTCCCCTTTCCCCTCAGGGCCTCTGGGGCAGCTAGGGTCTCCTGCCAGGCCCTCTGGGACCCCAAGAGCCAGCCGCAGCAGCCCACCGTGAGGGGTGGGGCAGGCCAGTGGCAGAGGACCCCACGTCCCCAGAATGCATGAAGGAAATGGCGTCGGGTGTCAGTAGCCCCCACTTGGGCCTCACACTCTGCCCCACAGCCCAGCCCTCCGTGACGGCCTCCCCGCAGACAGAGGAGCTCTTCGACCTCATCGCCAGCTCCCAGAGCCGCCGGCTAGATGACCAGCGGGCCAGCGTGGGCAGCCTGCCCGGCCTGCGCATCACACACAACAACGTGGGCCACCTCCGCGGTGACGGGGACCCCCAGGAGCCGGGGGACGAGTTCTTCAACATGCTCATCAAGTATCAGGTGGGTCTGCAGCCCGGAGCCAGGGGTGGGCTGCCAGTTGTGGTGGCCAGGTCCCTGCCTCGGGCTGTGTCCTGGCATCCTGGCCTCCAGGGAGTGGAGCTACAGACTGGTGGACAGGGCTGGCATGGCCGGTGTTTGTGGACGCCAACGGGAGTGGGCTGGGCTCCTCCAGCTTTGGGACCCTCATGCTGGCCTCCCGTTAAAGCTGCCCCACACACTGGTCTGGGAAGACTCCTTGGGGCTGCCAGCGACACGGGTGCCCTTACAGTGCAAAGGAAAGCTGGGGTTGGGCTCGGGAGAGTCAGGATGGCTGGGGTGGGGTGCACCACTGTCCCACACAAGGCCCACCAGTTCCCGGATGTGACGTTCGTTCCCACAGAGAAGGCAGAAGCAGGGCCGCGGGCCAGGCATCTCAGCGGCCACCCTTAAGCCAGCCCCTTCCAAGGAGCCCAGAGACCCCCGTCCTCTCGCACGCACACGCCAGCAGCTGCAGAAGCTCCTGTCCCCTCTGCTCCAGGCCCTGCAGAGAAGCCCGGGAGCCCCCCAGGCCACCTCGCGTCCAAGCCAGGGCAGCAGGGCTCCAAGACTGGGCCACCTAGCCCAAGGGGGAGCCCCATGGAGCTCCTCATCACGGGCTCAGGAGCTGTGTGTCCCCGGCCCCCCAGGGTCCCTCCTGGCCAGTGCCAAGGGCCAGCCATGCCCCAGCCGGCTCCTGGGGGTCAGTGGGCCCTGGGAGCAGGACCTCTGGGGCCCCCAGCCACTCAGCCCCAGGCTCGGCTCCCACCACACCGAGCAGGTATTGCCCAACCCATCTGGCCGGGGGGCAGGGTGGGGCGTGGCCCAGGAGTCAGTGCCAGGGCCGGGGATGCAGGGGGCTGAGGTGGCCAGCCAGGCCTGCCGGGAGAGCCCCCAAGGGCCAGGGTAGTGTGACCCCCACCTGCCATGTCTGCCCAGTCCTCCAGGATCAACGACCAGCGCTGCCCACCCCCTGACGTGCCGCCCCGGGGCCCCACCATGCCAGACGAGGATTTCTTCAGCCTCGTCCAGAGGGTGCAAGCCAAGCGCATGGATGAGCAGCGTGTGGCTCTCACCGGGAGCCAGGAGCAGGAGGCCAGTGGGCCACCCAAGCCCCCCCAGCAGTGCCAGCCAGGTGCCAGCTAAGGCCGTGCACCCCACCTCTGGATGCTGGAGGGCACCCTCACCGCCCACACCGGCACAGCTCCCAGGCAGCCATGGCTGAGGGCAGCTTCGAGCCCCTCAGCCCTTCCTGGAGAGCTGACGATGGGCACATGGCCCCTCCAGCAACCCCTCCCTCGGTCGTTCAGGCTTCCCACAGGCCCGGCCCGGCCCCGCCCCGCCCCGCTCCCGCCCCCCCTGGCCT